CTCTGTCCAGTCTTCAGACCTTGCGCACAGCAGCGTGGCACCGGAGGGGTCAGCCTTGGACGTCGCTCGCGGTGATCCGAGTCGAGAGCCGAGTCCTCGCCTTTCTCCGCGTCCATCCTCGTCCTCGTCCTCGTCCTCCGCCGAGCAGCCGCCCTGCGGTCGGCCTTCCTTTCCTGGAGGTCAATTTCCCCCCCCCCCCCCCACACACACACCCGAAGTCCTCCAGTGTGTGTTGGGTCTTCGTTATGACTCCGCAGCACCGCGCGTCCTCACCTCACACCTCCTCGCTCCCGCTCCTCCTCCTCCTCCTCCTCCTCCTCCTCCTCCTCCTCCTCACCATTTTCCAGAAACTCCTGTGTGTTGGGTCCTCGTTTTGAATCCGCAGCGCCACGCGTCTCCTCCTCCTTCTCCTCCTCGGCATCCTCCTCCTCCTCCTCCTCCTCCTTCTCCGCCTCCCTCTCCTCCTCCTCACCATTTTCCAGAACCTCCTGTGTGTTGGGTCCTCGTTTTGACTCCGCAGCGCGCGCGCGTCTCCTTCTCCTCCTCCTCCGCCTCCTCCTCCACCTCCTCCTCGGCATTTTCCAAAACCTCCTGTGCGCGTCCCGCTTAGCTTTCAGCGGAAGAGGTTCGCTCTCGCCCTGCAGATCAAAGTGTTGGGTTCTCGTTTCGAATCCGCAGCGCCGCGCGTCTCCTCTCCTCCTCCTCCTCCTCCTCCTCCTCTCCTCCTCCTCTCTCCTCTGCCTCCTCCCTCCTCCTCCTCTCCTCTCCTTCCTCCTCCTCCTCCTCCTCCTCTACCTCCTCCTCCTCCTCCTCCTCTTCCTCCTCTACCTCCTCCTCCTCCTCCTCCTCCTCCTCCTCCTCCTCCTCCTCCTCCTCCTCCCCTCTCCTCCTCCCCATCCTCCCACTTCTTTATTCGTCTCATCCTCCTTTTCCTTCTTCGCATTTTGGCAGACCCCTCACACGCTTCGTGGCCCCATAGTGGGTTCCGCCGAAGGCCACAGTGGCTGCGTTCGCATACGGCCCCGACACGTTTCGGCAAACCCTCACACGTTTCGTGGCCCCATAGTGAGCTCCACCGAAGGCCCCAGTGGCTCAGTGGCTGCGTTCGCATGCGGCCCCGCCACGTTTTGGCAGACCCCTCAGACGCTTCGTGGCCTCACAGGGAGCTCCACCGAAGGCCCCAGTGGCTGCGTTCGCATGCGGCCACGCCCCATTTAGGCAGATCCCTCAGACGCTTCGTGGCCTCATGGACTTGTTTCTCTTCCTGGTCTTGGCCGCCTGCGCTCGTCTCTTTCTCTTGCTGAGTGCTGCCTCCTCCTTCTGCTTCTCCTGCTCCTGCTCCTCCTCCTCCTCCTCCTCCTCCCTCCTCAACAGCCGTCCCGGCTCAAGCACGGGGCGGGGGGCGGGGGGGGGGGGGGTGGCGGCTGCCACAGGGCCAGCCCTCCCTCCCCTGGGGCTTGGACGCCCGAAATGGGTACGGAAAGAACGGGTACGATACCCAACCACAAACGCTGCCCCAAACCAACAGCGGCCGCTGCTGGACAGGCCGCCTTCTGCCTCGAGCGGACTCCGTCCGCGGCGGCGCTGGCAGCGAGCCCTGCTCGAGAGGAGCAGGAGATGCCGTCAGCCTTCGGACCCGCTTCTTCCGTACCCACTCCGATCGTCCCGACGGGGGGGCCCGCCGCCCCGCGGGGATCGGAGGGACGCCAACAGCACCACCGCCACCAGCCTTGGCCAGGTCCATCCTGGGCCCTGGACCGGTGTACAGCCGGACCGAGGTATGATCGAGGTCGATTCGGGGAGGGCGCCTTACTGCTCTTCGTGCTTGTTGGATGTCCTTGTGCATCCTGGGGAGGGTGCCCTTGGATGCTCCTCTTGGCCGGCGGAGGGTCTCAGGTTCTTGAAGGATGTTCTTCTTCTCTCCTAGGCCCCCCACTGTGTAGATCTCCAGGCCCGGGCCCAGTCGAGGGCCCAGGATGTGGCTGGCCAGGGCTGGTGGTGGTGTACTCTTCGGAGCCCTCCCAGGGGATATAGGGGAACGAAAAATTACATAACCATGAAAACTCAGAGGCCTGCGCGATTTTTTTCGGATCCGCGCTGGACCCCCTTCCCTGGCGCGCGGAGCGCGCCAGGGGTCTCCAGCGCCGATCCGAGAAGTCCAAGCGGACATCCGAGTTTTTATGTTCATACCATTTTTTCGTTCCTCTACATCCCCTGGGAGAGCTCCGAAGAGCACACCACCACCGGTCCCGGCCAGGCCCATCCTGGGCCCTGGACTGGTGCGCAGGCCCTCCTGGCCCGGGCCTGGGCCAGGAGGTCTGCACAGCCGGGCCCGGGAGCGAAGAGCCTCCCTTCAGAGTTTCTATGTTTGTGCCATTGCTCCTTCCTCCTCTCCTCCTCCTCCTCCTCCTCCTCCTCCTCCTCCTCCTCCATCTCCCTCCTCTTCCTTCTCCTCCTCCCCCTCCTCCTCCTCCTCCTCCTCCTCCTCCTCCTCCTCCTCCTTCCCCCCTTAAGGATGGCAGCCCCCGCGCCCGCCGCGGATGCGCGGCGCCGCCCCCGCGCGCCGCCCAGGGGCCGCCGCCCGACGTCGGCCCCCGCGGCGGCGCCCGCGCGGCGGCGGCGGCGGCGCTCGGCGGGGGCGAGGGCGCGGCGGCCGGCGCGGCCGCTGCAGGGGCGAAGGCTTTGGGGGGGGGGGCTCGGGGCCAAGACGCCGGAATGCAGAGGAGGGGGAGGTGGAGGAGGCGGAGGAGGAGGAGGCGGAGGAGGAGGAGGAGGAGGCGGAGGAGGAGGAGGAGGAGGAGGAGGAGGAGGAGGAGGATGCGGCGGAGGAGGCGGAGGAGGCGGAGGAGGAGGAGGCGGCGGAGGAAAGTCGGCGGCGAGAGCGGAGCTTGCCACACGCCACCGGGCTGCCGTCGCTCCGGAGCAGAGGGGTGCGAAGCGGCCCAGCGGCCACTCACGGTGAAGGCCTAGCATTCTGGCGGCGCCCTAGAAAGCGCTAGGGGGAGGCCCTAGAAATTGCTAGGGAGGTCAGGGGTGCTCCAGAGTGCTCCTGAATCCTGCTCCTCTCATCCTCAATCAGCGGCGAGCGAAGGGGGGGAAACGAGAAGGAGAAGCCCGTCTCAGAATGCGGCGGGGCCTCGCAGAAGACCTTTGGCCTTCTTAGAGGTTTTTGGTGTCTTCGGGGAAGGCTTAGAAAACTTCTCAGCAGGCTGGGGGATTTCCCAGTCTTCTGAGATGGCCCGCCCCTTCCCACTTCCCCCCCCTCGCTCGCCGCCGAGAAAAGACACCCGTACCCTTCCCTCGTTTTCGCCTTTTTGGGCCTCCTGGGAGGCCCTTGTCGCCACCGCTGGAGTCGCCTCGAACTTCTGGTCAGGACGCACCCCAGGAGAGGTCTGGAGAGTAGCGTTGTCAGTAACTTGTGGTGTCCGCGAATGAAGGCTGCTTTGGGCTCGGAAGCGGCTCGCTGTTCCTGGCGCCATTCTGTGGTGGTCCCTCTGACCCTCCTCATGCACACAGGCTTGCCTGGTGCCTGCAAGGGGCTTCGTTTCTCATGTCGCGTTCCTCCTTTCAGCAGCTCGGCTTTTTAGATGCAGGGGCAGGGCTCGGCCGTGTGGAACTCGGCCAGGATGAGCTCGGCCAGGGCCAAGTGCAGCTTGGCTTGTGTCGGCTGCGCGTAAGAGTGACGTTCCGCTGGAGTGACCTGTGGTGCGGGCCCACAGGGACCACCCCAGCACAAGCTCGCACGCTTGGATTTTGGCCCCCACGCGCCCCCCCAAGCCGCGCACCGAAGGTCACTGCTGCATAGAGTCACTCTTACGTGTGGCCGATTATGGAAAGGGGAAGACTCGGCCAGGCGAAGCTGGCCGAGCTTCTCTTTGCCAAGAGCAGCCTGGCCGAGTTTTCTTGGCGAGTTCAGCTGGTGTCATATGGGAGGAGGTGGAGGAGGAGGAGGGGAGGAGGGAGGAGGAGGAGGAGGAGGAGGAGGGGAGGAGGAGGAGGAGGAGGAGGAGGAGGAGGAGGAGGAGGAGGAGGATGATGATGATGATGATGATGAGGAGGAGGAGGAGGAGGAGGGGGAGTAGGAGGAGGAGGAGGAGGCCTCGTCGGGGCTCCCCGATCGTGGAGCGCGGAGCGGTGGCAGCGGCTCGCGCGCTCGGGCTCGGCCCCCCCCACCCTGGCGTCCGCCCGCAGCCGCGCGCCGGGAGTCGCCTCTTGTCCAGGGGTCGCTCGTGCGTGTCGCCGCTCGGCGCGGAGCGAGGTCCCTGGGAGCAGTGGCACTGCTTTGCCTCAAGGCTGCATGTCTGTGAGGGTCCTCGCCCTGCATGCCGGCCAATTCGCTGTGTAGTGTCCCTGCATCGCTGCATCGCTGCCGCGCTGGAGAGGATCGTCCCGCCTCGCTGCCGACGGAAAAAGTCTGTTCGGGTCCTCTGTGAGGCGGGAGGCCGATGGGCGGCCTGCGCGAGCCAGCATCGGCGGCGCGCTGTCTCTGGTCGTGGTCCCTGCTCGTGGCTCGCCGTTTTTCTGGTCGTGTCTCGTGGTCTCTGGTCGTCGTCTCCGGTGGTGGCTCGTGATCACTGGGTCGTGGCTGCAGGCTTTGGTCGTGGCTCTCGGTCTGGCGCTCCCGTATGGTGTCTTTTAGAGCAGTACGTCGTGCCAAGCCAGTTGGGCACCGTAGACGGGCCAACGGCGATGTAGGTCACGGCGGTGTATGCTTCGGTATTGTGGGAGCGCGTGGCCCGTGCTTTCCTACAACTCGCTATGTCGTTCGCTCGATCCGTTCGCAGACGGGAGATGTAGGAAGGTGTGATTCGTAGCTTCTTACGCTTTGGTTCCCAACATTGCCGTCAAGCAACATCGCCGTTAGCCAGGCCTTGGGAGAATGAATCTATTGCCTTGCCTTTAGCGTGCCCTCTCTCTCTCTCTCTCTAGTGCTCCAGAATGGTGCTTGGGGTATTTCTCCCGCCGCGGGCATATCTTTTGCCCCCCCCCCCCCCCCCCAGAAGGCACCGGGGCTTCCTCCGGGGAGGCTGACGCGGGTGCTGAGGACGACCTGGCTCCCCGTGCGGCTGACCGTCAGGCCAGGGCTGGACCTAAACGCTGTTTTGCTGGACTTCGGCCGTGCTTTGTTTTTCGTTTTGGCAGGGGGGTACAGGAAAACAGGTAGAGCAAAACGAACAACAAAACGACACCCAAACAAACACAACGTTTAGGTCCAGCCCTGCCCTCAGGCTCTTCTCCGTCTTCCTCGCGTGGTTCTTCATCACGGTCCCCGGCCTGGTCCGGGCCTGGGTGCCGCACTCCTCGGAGATCCTGTCGATGGGGTTCCTGTTGTTGAGGACGATCAATGGAGAGGAAGCGTGTTGCCAAGTACTTCCCAGATGTCTAAGCCATGTTGCCAACATGCCTTGAGCATGTAAACACACGTTGTTTAACACATTTTTAGAACACTGTTCAACCATGGAAACACACTTTTATTTCAATGGTAGGACCGTTGGGGTGTGGCATCCACAAGGTTCCTGTACATCTTCGCCCAGGCTCTGGGCCTCATGTGGCTGCTGCTGGTGAACATGATCTCGATCTTCTCGGTCGGCTTCGTCGACTACGTCCAGCGCTGGCTGTCAGAGGAGGAAAAGGTACCCGTACCTCTACCCTTCGGCGGTTTTCCCCTTTTTCGGCCTCCTGGGAGGTCCTCGTCAACACCGCTGGATTCGCCTCGAGATTCTGGTCAGAACGCACGCCAGGAGAGGTCCTGGGAGTAGCGGTATCGGTACCTTTTTGATTACCCCAGGTTGTCCAGCGAGCACAGCCACATGGGCAGCGCGCTCGAGAAGGTGCTTGCGGCCTACGTGCAGTTCTGCATCCTCCGCATCATGTTCTTCATCGGCACCAGTCTCGGCGTCATCGGCTGGGAGGCTTAGCTGCCTCGATGCGCCCGTCTTGATGCGCAACACGTGCCGTGCTCAGAACGCCCGTGCCAATACGTTGCGTGTTGGCTCAGCGCGTCGGCCCACGTTTTGGCCAACGCATCGCGTCAGACCTGCGTGTTCGGTCTACGTGTTGAGCTCCGTATCAATACGCTTGAAGAAAACCAAACGACATAAGCATACACTTTCGACGGTCCGCGCGGGTTTCTTGGATCGGCGCCAGCGCGCTTGGGAGGGTGGTCCAGCGCAGATCCGCGAAGTCCGCGCTGACCGTCGACAGCTTATGTTTATGCTGTTTTTTTGCTACACGCTACAGTGGAGACCCATGCCAAGACGCACCCTGCTCGCCTCCAGGGTGCCCTGGGATTCATTTGGTTTCAATGGCTTCGTGGTGGAAAGCATGGCGCTCCAACACCAAAGCAAAAAGCATGGACGTCCTGGGGTCCCAGGGGGCTGGGTTTCTGGGGGGAGATGTTTCTTGCTGACTGGCCTCCGCTGTGCGTGTTGCGTGCTGCGCACCTCCTCCTCCTCCTCCTCCGTCCTCCTCCCTCCGTCCTCCGTCCTCCTCCCTCCGTCCTCCGTCCTCCTCCCTCCGTCCTCCGTCCTCCTCCTCCTCCTCCTGCTCCTCCTCCTGCTGCTGCTCCTCCTCCTGCTCCTCCTCCTCCTCCTCCTCCTCCTCCTCCTGCGTGCTGCGCATCGGGGCAGCTGAGGCTGGGAGGCCTTCTCCGACTTCCCCACCGTCCGCCACCTCGTCATCGGCGAGCGCGGCCGCCGCGGGGGCGGCGCCCCTGCCGCCCGCAGCCGCGGGGCACTCCTCGCCGCGCAGCTGTCCCCGGGCTCGGCGCACGACGGCTTCGAGGCGGGCGCGTGGACGAGCGAGGACTCGGCGGCGAGGGAGGAGGAGGAGATGGAGGAGGAGGAGGAGGAGGAGGAGGAGGAGGAGGAGGAGGAGGAGGAGGAGGAGGAGGAGGAGGAGGAGGAGGAGGAGGAAGAAGACGATTCATACTATTAATAATAAGAATAAGAGGAATAGCAATACAATTACTAAAACTATCAATGCTAGTAATCATAGTAACGAGAATATGCATGACACTAAGAACACTACTAATACGAGTTCGATTAATAATATTAGGAATAATAATCGTAATGCTACTATTAAGACGAAGAGTCATACTATAATACGAGTAAGAATATTAAGACGACTAAGCATACTACTACTAAGAACAATACTATGAATACTAAGAATAATCATACAAATCCTAATAATGATAATACTAATCAGACTACTACTAAGACTAATCCTATTATTGAGAGGAGGAGGATGAGGATGAGGAGGAGGAGGAGGAGGAGGCGGAGGAGGAGGAGGCGGAGGAGGAGGAGGCGGAGGAGGAGAAGGCGAAGGATGATGATGAGGAGGAGAAGCAGGAGGAGGAGTAAGAGGAGGAGGAGGAGGAATAAGAGGAGGAGGAGGCGGAGGAGGAGGAGGCGGAGGAGGAGGAGGCGGAGGAGGAAGAGGAGGAGGAGGAGCGGGATGGGGGGGAAGCGAGACGGAGACGGCCTCCTCAGAAGGTTCGGACGTCTCCCAGCCTTCCGAGGAGTTTTTGAGGCATGTTCCGAAGACAACAACAATCTTCTCTCAGAAGGCGCGAGGGCTTCTGAGAAGTCCCGCCGCCTGGACTCAGAGGAGGACAAGGTCCCTATACCTCTGCACTTCGCTCGTCTTCCCCTCGGTGGGCCTCCTCTGGGCGGCCCTCGTCACCAGCGCTGGATTCGCCTGGAAGTGCTGGTCCGAACGCAGCCCCGGGAGAGGTCTGGGGAGCAGCGGCATCGGCACCCCTGTGTGTGTTTCCCAAGGACGACGGAGCCGGCAGGGCCTTCGCGCTCGGCACGCCGCTGTGCCGGGATAAGGGCCAGGATCCGAGGGAGAAGAATCGAGTTCGACTAGACGTAAGAGTGACCTTTCGCCGGAGTGACCTTTGGTGCGGGCCCAGTGGGGCCCCCCGATCACCGATTGCGATGCGATAGCAGCGTCTCGCGCGCCCGAGTTTGGTCCCCCCCGCGGCCCCCCAAAAGCCGCGCACCAAAGGTCACTCTTACCCAGGGTCACTCTTGCGTGTAGCCGACGAGCGGAGGGGATCGACTGCAGAACTGATGTGCCCCAGAACTCAACGGTTCGTCGGATCTGCGGAACCATACATTCATAGGCTTCGCAGGTCTGCCAGGATTCTACGTGCTCGTTGGCAGGTTCGACGAGCGCCTGTCGTCGATCGCCTCCTCGGAAAGAGCGGCACCGGCAGATCCGGTTGGAGGTCTGCGCGGATTCCTCGGCTCCGCGCTGGACCCCCTCCCGGGCGCGCGGAGCGCGCCAGGCGTGGCGCCCGAGGCGCCGCCGGGGGGCCCCAGCGCCGATCGAAGGCATCGGCGCGGAGCTCCGAGAGTTTATGTTTATGCTGTCCGCTTGGCCTTCGAAGGACAGCCCCGAGTCGCCGTGGGGGTTCCCAGAGGATCTCGCCTGCCAGGAGAGCGCGCCCCTGTCCGCGGAGGACGTGCCCCTGCCGGGCGGGCCGCCAGGGGCGCGGGGCAGCGGGGGCCCGTCGGGAGCGGCCGCGGGGCGGACGAGGCGGCGGAGGCGCTTCTTCCTGCGGAAGGCCACGCTGCTGGCGCCGCTGCTGGGGATGATCGCGTTCAAGGTGGCGCTCGTCGCCGTGATGGCCGCCTGCGACTTCGGCGCGATGTCGTGCGACAGCTCGGAGGGCCTCGCTTCGCTGACCCGCTCGGGCGGCAGGCTCAACGGCGGCGTGCAGTTCGCGCTGAACGTGGCGCTGATCCAGTGGACGACGGAGTTCATGCACCTGTTCCCCGCCTGGCACCGAGGCTGAAGTCGGGCGTGTCCCTCTGCAGGAGGAGTATCCAAGAATAGTCGAACAGTAATCAGGGAACGATTTCCTACCATTTTTGGACTACTCTTCTTTTTGTTGTGTGACTATTTTTATTTTTTCGGGGACGTGCCCGACCTGAACCGAGGCCTGGGCGCCAGCGGCGCACTGGGCTGGGCCGTGGAGCTGGTCGGGATGCTGCTGTTCCTGGTGTCGTCCTGGCGGGTGCTCGCCTGGCTCCCGCTGCCGCGCCTCGTCGCGCGGGCGCTGCTGGTGCCGCACGCGCCGCGCCACGTCGCCGCCCTGGACTCGGGCGTGTCGCTCTGCTGGCAGCTGTGGCTGCTGGTCGCCTGCCTGCTGGCGCTGAGCCGGCCGGAGATCAGCGGCTTCTCCCAGCGGACGCGGCTGGTGGAGCACGGGGCCTGGGGCGAGATGTCCACGCTCTTCAAGTACTCCTTCCTGGTGCCCGCCATCCTGCGGTTCACCAACCACATGCCATGCCCTCCACCAACCTCGTCCTCCTCCTCCTCCTCCTCCTCCTTCTCCTCCTCCTCCTCCTCCTTCTCCTCCTTCTCCTCCTCCTCCTCCTCCTCCTGCGGTTCGCCCGGGGCTGCCTCGTCAGCGGCTTCGCGGGCGCGCAGACCGACCTGCTCGTCCTCGTCTGCGCCTACCCGCTGCTGCTCACCGCCGTGTGGACGCTGGTGTGGGCCGTGGTCATGGCCCCCGGGAAGCGGCGGCTGCTGGCCGGCATGGCCGGCAGCCTGGCGCTGGCCTCGGCGGTCTGCTCCGTGGCCGGCTACCCCCAGGGGGCGCCGAACGTGTTCGTGTGGCTGCACCTCATGAGGCCTCTTTTCTTTGTTTTTGTTTTCTTATTCTCCTTCGTCTTCTTCTTCTTCTTCTTCTTCTTTTTCTTTTTTGTTTTGCTTCGTACATATATATATATAGATGTATAAGTAAAGAATCAAGCAATCAAGCAATGCTTGAGGCCTCGACTGCCCTGATACGCCCAAGCTGAGACGCAGCATGTGCTGTGTTCAAAGCGTCCGTGGTCGCACGCCGCGCGTTGGCTCCGCACGCGTCGGCCGCCACATTTTGTCGCGAACGGATTTCGCGCTGGACCTGCACGTGTTCCATCTGCGTGCGTGCCGCAGCTCTGCGTGCCAGCACGCTGACTGCGTGCTGCGCGTCGCGTATCGGGGCAGCCGAGCACGAGGCAGTACCTGAAGTGCTGCAGCAGCCGGCGGCACCGCCTGGATGCGCAGCCCTCCGCGGCGCGGCACCCGCCGTGGGGGCGGCGGCAGCCGGAGAGCTCCGGCGACGGCGCCCCGGCGGTGCCGGGAGAGCCGGAGAGCCCGCCGGCCAGCGGACGGGACGCCCCGCCCGCCGCGGACGGCAGGCCGGGGGCCCCCCAGCGGCACAGGGTCTGGGCCAAGCTGACGATGGTGGCGGCGTCGTCCATTGCGCTGGCCCTCGCGGGGGTCCTGATCTCGCTGTCCGTGGTGTCCAGCATCCAGAAGCACATCGACTGGTTCCCGAACACGATCTGGTTCCACCGCGAGGAGCGGCCCCCGGCCCTCGTGGTCGACCACCTGGTGTCGCGGATGCGCCTGGAGATCGGCCAGGGGCCGAACGCCAGCTCGAGGCCCTCGGGCGCGACGGGGGGCGTCTCGTATGCCGCGTGCGGGCACCTCTGGCGCCCCGGGCCTCCCAATCGGGTCCGAGTCTCTGGGGTCGGAGGGTCGCGCCGCATCGCCGATGCATCGCCGATGCAGCCGTGGAGCCCGACCCTCTCCACGCTGGCGCCGCCGGTGCGCCGCCCGCGTCGCCGGTGCGTCGGCGATGCCTCGGCGATCCTCCGACCCCATCTGCTCGAGCATCGCTGTAGGGGAACAAAAAGTGACATAAACATAAAAACTCGGAGGTCCGCGCGGATTTCTCGGATCGGCGCTGGACCCCCCTCCCTGGCGCGCGGAGCGCGCCAGGGGCGGCGCCGGAGGCGCCGCCGGGGGGGCCCCAGCGCCGATCCGAGGAATCCGCGCGGACCTCCGAGTTTTGATGTTTACGCCACTTTTTGTTCCCCTAGCTTGGGAGGCCTCCAGGCACGGCCTCAGCGTCCTGGACTACTCGCTGCTCTCCCTCGCGAGCTACTTCGACGCCGCGGACCCGAGCCTGCCGCCGCTGCTGGAGAGCATGTTCCCGCCCGGGCACGGGCTCAGCGGCCGCCTGCGCCCCAGCGGCCCCCCCGAGCGCCCCGCCGTCGGCCGGGGCGAGAGCCGCCTCAGGTCACGGGGCTCAGCGCCGACGGGTGCCGGCCAATGCCCTCTGGGCAGTCGCGCAGGGCCGACTCCCCGCTGCCTCGGAGGAAAGAGAAGTACCCACACCTCTACCCCCTCGCCCCCTTTCCCCTGTGTTGGCCTCCTTGGAGGCCCTCTGTCGCCACCGCTGGATTCGTCTCGAAATCTTCGTCAGAACGCACCCCGGGAGACGTCCAGGGGGTAGCGTGAAGTCGGGCGTGTTCCTCCACAGGGGGAACATTCAAGAACAGGAAAAAATAGTCCGGGGACGATTTCTCGACTATTCTTGGCTGTTGTGAGCCTTTCCGTGCAACTATTTTGATCCAGGTTTCGTCCAAGATCCGCCTGCAGGAGGACACGCCCGACCGAAGGGCAATGGTGCGCCCCTGGAGGTGGCTGGAGGTGGAGATGCGGGCGCCCGGGCTGGAGAAGCCAGTGCTCGTCATCGCGATCCGGGGCACGGTTCTCGGGGGCCGCCTAAGCGCTTCCAGGCATGGTCGCGTCGTGAAACAAAATTCGGACGGGAGGTTCTTGCCAGTCTTCGGCGTCGGGGCGCCCTTGCTGGGTTCTGGGGCCGTTAGAAATTTATGTAATCGCTTCGCTCATTCCGCCGGCCCATACAGTCTCATGTCTGCCGTTTGCCCGAGGGCCTGGTGTCAATGCGGCGCTTTGGGGGTTCTTTTGCCAGGCGTCTCGGGAAGGGAGGTTCTTGGCAGTCTTCGTCCTCGGGGGGCCCTTGCTGGATTTCGGGGCTTTCAACAATTATTCAGGATGAAAACACGGCCCCGGTGAAAGGGTCGGGACGCCCAGGGACCCCGTCTTGAAAAAGTCAGGACGTCGCACGTCTGGGGTGGGGCATCGGGGTTTTCGGGCGTTTTCGTGGGTCCCTGGGGGCTTTCCTGCCTCGCGATGCGTTCCAGCAGCTGCGCCTCGCCGCGTTCTGGGCGAGCCTGGATCGTCCCGACCGGCCGCTGGGGTCCCGAGTTCTAGCCCGGAAGCCAAATCTTTGGAGGAGGGTCGGTGTGGTGAGTCAGTGGGGATTCGGGATCGCCGCACGGTTTTGGGACTCGGGTCCTTCTCCGAGGACGTCTCGGGCGGCAGGGGCCTCCGAGGTCCCAAGACCGTGCGGTGGCGGACTGCTCGGTAAGGTCTCTTGAGATTTCGAGGCCTCCGCGCGGCATGTCCACATACGGTTCTGGGACCCCCCAGGATCCGATCCGCGCCAGCGACTACGTGGAGGACATCCGGATGTGGACGGAGCCAGTGTGCATTAGCATCCTTTCCACCATCTTCCCCACGGTGCGCGCGTGGCCGCGTCAGACGGCCGAGGCGGTCATCAAGGGTATCCACGAGATGCTGGACTCGCTGGGGCTCCCCGACGACAAGTGGAGCTACACCGAGCTGGTGCACCGCGTGCGGCGGATCCCGAGAGAGCCCTATTCGCAGGTCGTCCTCATCCAAGAATGAAAACATAAGCAAACCTTTTGTTAAACAAGAAACAAGCAACAACAATCGCAGGTCGTCCTCACGGGGCACAGCCTGGGGGGTGGGACGGCCACCGTGGTCGCCGCCCTCACCCAGCTGCCGGTGGTGGGGATCACGCCGCCGGGGATCTACTGGAGCCTGGCGAAGCACAATTATTTTTTTGGGCGGAACGGCACGGACGCACCTCTCGGCGCCAGGAGAGACGCTGGCATCTCGAACTGGATGCACCACCAGTCTCTCACGCTGGTCGTGGAGAACGACTGGGTGAACGGCATCTTTGACGACCACGGGGGTCTCGTGCAGATGATGACGTGCGACCGCAGCGAGGAGTCCCTCCAGCTCGGCTGCCACATGCTGGAGGGCACGATCTGCCACCTGCTGTCTAGCTGCGGCGACGTCCACGGCCGCTTCACGGCCTGCTCGCACGAGTTCCTGACCGACATGAACGACCAGGGGCAGAGCACCTCGGTGCGCCACTTGCTGGAGGTGCTGGGGGAGGTCCTGTCCGAGCACCAGAAGCCCCGCCTGGCGGCCCTCGCGGCGTGGATCGAGAGGCCCCTGGGGGAGAGGGGTACGGAGGAGGAGGAGGAGGAGGAGAAGGAGGAGGAGGAGGAGGAGGAGGAGGAGGAGGAGGAGGAGGAGGAGGAGGAGGAGGAAGAATCGAGTTGGCCAGGTCGAGCGAGTCAGAGAGCCTCGCGTGCTCCCACCCTCCCCCCCGCATCATCAGGATCCATTGTGGCACGACTTGATGTTGGGATTGGAGCGCGCACCCTCCTCGCAAACAGGGGGCGCTCGCGCGCGGCCCCGCTTCCGACGACTTGGCGGAGAGAACCTGCATGGGCCGCGCAGAGGCGGGAGCGGCAAAGCTTCCGATGGGCGCGGCGAAGGCGATGCAGCATGCGCCCTGCTGACACAGCACTGCCACTTTCAAGCACTCGAGCAGCGCTCAAATTTCTAGTAGGCTGAGCTCAAGTGCCAAGCGAGAGCAGCGTTTTGGCCTTTCACGCGGGATGTGCGCCCCGCTCTGTTCCTGGCACGCACTTTGCAACATGGACGACGTAATGTCCATGCTGAGACGAAAAGCATTGACTCGCATTGTGTTGTGACAGGCAGCATGGGCCTCCCGGATCCGGTCGCTAGCGGCCGGCTGGGGCGGCAGGAAAGAGTATATCTCACAGAAAAGTAACAGGCCACCTAGCCAGGCCGAGCGAGTCAGATGGCCCAGTCTATCCCCGCCCTCCCCCTCAAGACAGAAGAATGCATTGTGGCACGTCTCGATCTTGGGATTGAAGTGCGTTTTCCCACCTTCCCGCCTGGCAGACGGAAGGCGCTCGTGCGCGGCCCCGCTTCCGACGATCCGGCGACGGGAAAATGACGCGGGCCGTCCTCTTCTTCTTGGCCGTCTCCTCCTGGCCTGGAACGACGGACGTGCCCTTCTTCTGCGGCCGCCTCCTGGCCGCAGCCTCCGCCCCCTCTGCGCCCTCGCCCTCCAACATGGCCTATCCTCCTCCTCCTCCTCCTCCTCGTCTTTGTCTCGCCCTCCTGGGGCGAGGGCGGCAACACTGCCACGGGGCGCCGCGAAGACGATGCCGCACGCGCGCTGCGCCGACGTGGCCGCGCCGCTGTCGCGCACGACCCGCGCGGCGCGTGGGCGAGGTCGGCACCTCGCCCGCGCTCGCGCGGCCCCGCTGCCGCTGCCGATCTCGTGCGATTTGGCGATCGAGCCTCAGGAGGGGAACAAACACACACACACAGACACAATGCATCGGCGACTCCCAGGAAAATATGGGAAACTATGCGACGTGGGGGGGGAAGACGAAAACCTAGAAACTCGAAACCAATTACCCTAGCCAGCCCAACCAGCCAGCCCAACCAACCAGCCACCCAAACAACTCAACCGGCTCAACCAGCCCAACCAGCCACCCCGCAACCCCAGCCAACCCGCCACCCCGCCAACCCGCCCACCCCCGCCGCCTGCCCTCCGTCACCGTCGAGAGGGGGGGGGGAAGTGTTTCTTACAAGCGAAAACCACAAAAATCACCCTCCCGGGGTCCGGCGGGACAGCGGGGGGAGGGGATATCGCACCGTACTATGGGGGAGCGGGATTCGCGCCCGAGGTGCCCAAGGACGATTTGGGGCCTCAAGTGCGACACAGTCGTCATTTTATTACCTTTCACCGCGCTCCCCTTCTCAACGGAAAGGCTCCCATCCGTGAAACTGTCGTGATTTTTCAGCCCCCGCGAGAGGCTTCTTAGAGGCCCCCAGAGGCTCCAGGAGGGCCCATGGCGGCCTCGGGAGTGCCTAGGAGATCTCTGGAGGGCCCCAGGAGGACCCACTCTGCACTGCGCCCCCCTTCTCAACAGAAAGGCCCCCATGCGTGAAATTGTTTTCATCATTCCGCCCCCGCGAGAGAGTTCTTAGAGGGCCCACGGAGGCTCCAGGAGGGAACATGGCGGCCCCGGGAGAGCCCACGAGATCTCAAGAACACCCCGGAGGACCCGCTTTGAATTACACTCAGGGAGGGCCCAGGGGACTCCAAGAGGCCCCAAGAGGCCCCGAAGAGCCCAGACAGGCCACAGGACCCCCAGCACGCTCTTGGAGAGCCAAGGCGACACCAAGAGGCTCCAGGACGGGCGTCATTCCCTCTCCTCCTGCTCGTCGTCGTCATCCTTCTCCTCATCCGTCCTGCTTCAAATCCTTCCTCCCCCTCTTCCTCCTCCTTCTCCTCCTCTTTCTCCTCCTCCTCCTCTGCCTCCTCTTCTTCCTCCTCCTCCTCCTCCTCCTCCTACCTCTTCCGTTGCCATTTTGGCTCAAGCGGGTGTGGTGGGTACTGGGGAGTACTTACTTTCACATCTCATTGAGTGGGCAGCTCTCTTCAGAGGGCAATTCGGGTGCGAGCCCGAGCGGACACAAACCCATCTTTTCTCATCCCAGTCCAGTTTCTGCCATGGCCGAGGAGATCGTGCGGCAAGTCCAGGCGGCCCTAGAGGTTTCCATGAAAGCGCGGATCGACTCCCTGGGCACCACGCTCACGCAGACCTTCGCTACGCAGTTCGCGCAACTGTCCCAGGGGCTGGAGCGGAAGATTGCCGAGCAGAACGCTGGCATGACGGCGCAGACACATCACATAGTCCAGATTCGGGAAACGTTACAGAAGCATAGTGCCGCCATCGCTCGTCTTCAGCATGAAGCATCGACCTCAGCAACAAGCTCTGCTGGAGGAGCTGCAGACGGTAGTACATGGGCCAGTCGGCTTACTGAGCCAGCCGCCAAAATCCAGCGCACGTCAGCATCGGAGAATGCATCACCCAATTGGCACAATTCGCGATCTTAGCAATATGACAAGTGTCGACGCTGGATCGGCACATTCCCTCGTGCGATTTTAGCAAGCATGAGTCAAGCACATTTTGCATCGTGGAAGGACAACATCCTGACGCCGGTCATGATGATCAATGTTACGCCGCAGTACCATCGCATCAGCCAGAGCTACTCCCTCACCTTCTCCAGCGAAGCCATGGCGAAGGAGTTCACGGAGGTCTTCAACAACTCGGACAACCAGTGGATGGACCCGCGAGACGGATCGATGCACTACATGAAGGCCAGATCTGACCTGCCGAAAGACGTCAGGACCACACAGAGGGCGCTCAGCAAGGTATGGGACCCCATCATCGAGCTATTCGGAGCCAGCCCACGGTACACTGCAGGTTCGAAGCCCATCATCAACGGGTACAAGGGCACGATTCACTGGTCAGATGGGAATTATGTTTGGCCGCTGGTCAGCTGCTCGGACGTCAACCATGCGTCGTTCACGTTCGACATAGATCAAGACACTGTCTCTTTCTTCTCCCTGGGCACCGACAAGCTGAACAGGATCATGGAGGACGTCCAGAACAAGGCCGCCTACATCTAGGAGGAGCAGCTGGCATACTCGTCGAGCGTCGATGACAATCATGGCCAATCTTTTTGGGAGCATGAAAGCACTACCAGCGTAGTCGGAGACTCATGCGCTTCTCTTTCGGCCAGTACCTGTCCCTCGGCCACCCCATCGACACAATGTTCCAGCTCAACATGGAGTACAGTAGATCGCACAGATTCGCGTGGACCAGAAGCGTCCACAAAACCATTCTTGCTTGCGCAGCCGCTTCGAGTATGCACCTGGAATGCCCAGACTCTTTTCCACTCCCTTTCTGCCTCTCACAAGCACGGTGCGTCTAAATTTAAAGCTCTGGCCAGCATTGCACGGAAGATGGATGTAATTGTTGCACAGGAGACCCATGGTCAGGAAGGGGACCTTGAGACTCTGACCCGCGACTTTCCGAGATTCCGAGCCTTCGGTTCCTTCATTCAGAAGGCCCATGCTGGAGGTGCAGTGCTGCTGGTCAGGGAAGAGCTCGCCGAGCAGTTCAAGATGATAGATTCGCACGCGCTCGTGGCAGGTCGTATTCTCACGATTACTCTTCAGGGCCCGACAGGTGTATTGCAGGTTACGAGTGTCCATCTGGATCCTGAGTGGTCTGAACGAGCAACACGCGGTATTCTCCATTCTCTTTCTCGTTTCTTGCTCCCGCAGTTCCAGGCTATGAGTATTCTGCTAGGGGACTTTAATTTCCATGAACATGGATAATGCAGACACTATCTTGAACCACCTGTTCCTAAGACATCGCCATCACGCTTAGCTACCATATTTGACTATCTCTTTCCCCATTACTCCGAAGTCGAACAACCAGCCTATACTCATCGCGCATTCAGGCGCAATAAGCTGACATACGCTCGTCTCGATCGCATATACTGCAACACTGACACTGTCACTCTACTAGATTATCGGCCTAATACTGGAGTCCTCTGGGAGGTTACAGACAGGGGCAAGCCCTCTGACCACGTTCCAGTCTTTCTTTGCCTGCATGCTCCGCGGCCTGCAGTTACAGGTCAAGGCTCTATACCCCCGTGGGTGGCCAAGCATCCGCAGTTCGATGAGTTTGTCGAGGATCTTATCGCTACCACTGGGCTTTCGCCGCATCCCCCCACTGCTGTGCACGAAATTAAAGAGATATTTCACATTGCCGCTTGCCACACTCGGGGGTATGTCGAGATCTCAGGCGCCCGCACGCGGCCAGAGAAGGCTGCCTGCTGTCTCAAGCTTGTCCGTGCGGCGCGGTCTGGCAGCTACTATCGTGCTCGGCGTGCTTGTCTGGGTTACAGGCACCTCTTCGCGTTTTTTTTTTTTTTTTTTTTTTTTTTTTTTTTTTTTTTTTTTTTTTTTTTTTTTTTTTTTTTTATATATATAATATATATATATATATACATAAAAAAAACCCGAGACGATGACCTGGCTCGATCAAGGGCGATTCCATGAGCATCTCCGTTCCATGATGCGTGAGGAGTACCAGGAGGAGGAGAGGGAGGTGTGTGTGAGAACAATGAGCTAGGGTCGGAAGCTGCTGAGCAGGCCATTCGTCGAGTCAGGCGTCTCTCTGCTGCATGGGCTGCACGGCGGCCACGTATTAAGCTTGTTTGAGTTCGAGGACCTCAGGGAGAGGTCCACACTGACCCTGAA